CTGTGTATCAAATAAAATACGATTTCTTCAATAGTAGTCGATAAAAAAGTACGTACATAAGCAGAAGTATCTACATTCGCCACTAGAAGTGAAACGCAATCAAAGTGATTTACTCAGTCAGCAAATTTATACCTTGTTCTATCCAGTCCGCATAGAGCTTATTTCTTAACCATCGCAATATGTTAACATATACATTTTTTAATTTCTGAACTGGACAGTTAAAGAGGCAATTGCGAGTGCATGTGCAGGAGTGAGATTTATAATAAGAAATTGCTCCTACCGCGCATGCACCATAAGGATCTATAAATCTTTTAAGTACTGGATCGGCCAATCCCTGTTGAGAAACGATAAATCATCCCCGCGGACAGTAAAGCCGAATCGAACACGGATACCGTCTCTCTCGCACCCGTGCCTTGCCGCGCTCTTAGTATCATTTATCATTTCTTTCTCTCGTTTCTTCCCAATGATAAATTCAATTCTCTTTCGGGATATGATTGTTCTTCGTTTTGTTGTGTTTTATTGTAGGCACCGTCACGGAGTTAGGTTTTTCGATCGGATTCCGATCAAAATGATCGCGAGAATTGGATTTCCATTTTAGATTTCGTGCGTCGAGTAATCGATTTTTGCGGCTTCGGCATCGAGAGTACAAACCTGCTTGGTACTTTTATTCGGACAATTATTAATTATTTTTATACACCTTTAATATGTACCATAATGTGCCATTGTAGTTAACGGATTAATCGCTCGTCGTAACAACCCGAGCTAGATCCACGTTGGAAGCTCAAAAATTGTAGGTAGTGAGAGATGACATCAAAAGGAAACCTGGATGTTTTATAAAATATTTGTTTGAGCACCGCAATAGACTTACTGCTCCATAGCCGTCACATAAATAGGAGAAGGCTTGTGTTTAGCAGAGCGACATATTTGACCTAATTTAAAATTACTTTTAAATTCATCGGTGTTAGGTATAAGCACCTACTGATTTCTTTTATGTTTCATTGATCAGATGCAGATTTTTAATTTCTAATCCATGTTAATGTAACTTTGAGTCAACATTCTTGAAACTACGAACGTCCGGCCAAGACAAAGAGAAAGAGAGTAGGGAATCTTGGTAGATAAGTATTTAAGTTTCATTTCATTGCATGTTACATCACTGCATTTTGTCCCATGGTAGATAAGTATCGTAAGAGAAGTGTAGGAAAAACCGCAAATATCTCATGGACACACAAAACTCCCCACAGATGGATACCGCCATCTCTCGTTAATATCAGAATGTAAAATACTCCTAGCACCGACCGAGCTACGAAACGGTACGAAAATCTTGTACTGAGGTCGTCACTCTACTTGCCACTGCATAGTGGAGCGTCAGATTAAAGCCCGGTTTACATTTTGAGAAGTGACAAGTGCGAGCGGCAATGACAAGTGACAAATGACAAGTGACAAGTAGCAAGTTGGTGTTCACACATGTGGCAATTGGATGTCATTATTATGTGAAATCTGCGGTTTGAAATTGGGTAGGTAATTGTCAAAGAGGCGCTAGCACAGCTTTAAAGTTTAAAACTTGTATATCATACAAGTTTAACTTTTTTTTGATTAACGAAAGATGTGTGAAGTGCCTTATTGCAAAGATATTGGTGCACACCAATTTCCTAAAATAGCTTAAGTGAAAAAAAAATGTGTCTTAAAGCCGTAACAAGGAAAAAATTTAAGCCTGAAAATAATATGGCTCCAGCCCCTGACCTACAGGAGTCTTTAATTTTCTTCTTTTCTTGGTAATGTGTAGACTTAATGCTTCTTCGCTTCGCATATACCTACTTCTTTTGCGCCGAAACCGGCCATTCCCGTTGATTGAGATATTGAGGGCATAGCAGCGTCTCGCATCATTTTTTTACTTCAGCGATTTAATATTGTATAAACATTCGTGTTTCAATAATTCCTTGACAAATTTAATGTTATTGCTATCTGACCACTTCGTAATAAAACAAAATTACCATAAATACGGGTATGTATACAATATATGTAACAAAAATATTTTATTAAATAACTATTATAACCAACACGTGTATGTTCTGACGTCACCGCTAGAACGGGGGCGGCAGTTGATGACTGAGGGGAAAGCAAGGTTAGCGCGGGGCAGATACTTGTCAGAGAATAGAGCAGGCCGCTATTCACATGTTACTTTTATACTTTTCATTTCGCACTTATCACTTGTCACTCGCACTTGTCACTTCTCAAAATGTAAACCGGGCTCAATGGCGAAGCTACTATTAAAGCCGAAAAGCCGGGTTTGCCTTATTAAACCTGAATCAATCAATAATATCAATCAATAATATCAACTAATAAAATAACTCGTAAAATGTTTCAAGCTATTTCAAATTTCCCGCGCACTCCACTGTTCGACACATGTCGACCGATGACCTCGTATTGCCCTAGCGATACCGTTGCTGTCATAAAAAATGAGTTTTAATAGAGGTAATAGTTGTCTCCCTCGCTCGCGTGGGCTTTTTTACGGGGCTTTCGAGAAGACGATCGCTCTCTTTCTAACCTATGGCAAAATATTCTATAATGAAATATAACTACGATTGTATATATAGCAATTAGTATAGAGATTTAAAGCCAGACTTTTGGGAATAAATTTGTTAAAAGCGGAGGCGCGCGGGCAATACTTTTGCAAGTTCATTTCACGTTTCAATGTTTATTTACTCTGTGTGCTTATCTTAAGCGATTTAATATTACGAGTTCAAAATTTATGCTTTTTTAAAGATTTTTAATAAAAATGGAGAATAACAGTGTTCCTTGTGATGAATTGAAGTGTGTTAAAGTGATAATCGGAGAGGAAATCTTTAAACTTTGTTGAGATAATACACAAGGTTAATGGTGTATTTCAGACTTATCAATTATCGCAATTAAAAACAGTTATTGATACAATTAAAATGTTCACCAACATTTTACGTGAACGTAATTAAATCTTTCCATAAGAAAGCGAGACGATTCCACTTATCTTATCTCTTATCCATTAGAATGTAAATAATTTTTTTTTTTTTAATTTTGTACATTGTTTGTTGAACTTTGTTCGTGTTTTACTTTTGTTCATGTATTGTATTGGATGTAAATATTTTTTTTCTTTCGCTTAAACAAACCCAAACGGCTTTCTTCAAAGCCACCGAAGCTATTCAATTGCTGATATGTAATACAATCTATCTTAGCAGTGGTATGCCTTCCGTATGTTTTGTTAAACACGTCCTTGACGGCACTGAATATGAAACTGAAGCAACTGCTAAAAACAACAATCTATATTTTTATCAATTTATATCTTGGGCTTGCCCTAGCTTGGAGCTCTAGTTTCGCCACTGACCGGGCTTAAGGTTAATACTCGCTACAACTGGAAAGATTCATGTTCAATAGTGGACTGTACCGGGCAGATTCTAACAAGCAGGATATTGTGCAAATTCCCTAATACTACCTACCTAGCCGAGTTTTAATTACTGGATGACGTCGTTGTCAAAATCGTAGGTATTAAACAGTTTATTACCTATAAGATACGATAAAAAAAACAAAGAGCGAAAAATTTTTTTTACCCGTAACTTGGTTAAAGAGATGGCAATAATATTGATATTATTTTATTATTATTAGCAATATTAATTTGAACACAATAGATCTAAATTAATTTTAAATGATATAACGATAAAATAATAAGAGAATAAATAAAATAATGCACAAATAACTCAATTTGAAATATGTTTTCTTTATTAATCTTCTTGCTATTTACATGGCTGTAGAAAAAGACAATCAACAAATACATACTAGAATTAACTTAAAATACATTCTTTTCATTCAGTCATTTTTAAAATATAGGTACCTTTACAATCATTCTCTATCTATAATGTCGGTCCATGAAAAAATATTTGTTATTATTTTATATTTATAATAAACATACAATTCAAAATCGATAGCACAGTTTTATAGCAACGACAAAGATAGGTATTTTATAATAAAATCAATCCCTTATTTCTATTATCACTGGGCATTTTCTTAACATATTTTTACAAGTCAACTATCTAATTACCTCAAAGTTACAAATTTACAATAATCGTACAACCTATTTATCGTATTTTTATTGGACTTGGGTGCTTTGGCCATACTGGTCATTATAATTTATAAGACCTTATTCACGTGTTCTTATTTAATAACAATATAGTCGAATTGAAAAAATAAGTAGGTAAATATTATAATAATATATCAAAGTAAGTGAAGATACTTGTTGCAATGTGTGTGTGTATATAATATCTTTGAGAAAACTGTGGTATAATTAATTTTATATTGAATAATTCTTCAACAGAGAAACTGTTTGTACATCATAAAAGACTTATAAATTACGAAAGGCTGTCATAAATCACTGTCAACAATGCAGTTAACAAAAATGTTCACTGCATACTGTGTCGAGTCCCTAAGATTCTCAATATCTGACGAACAATACTATAGTACGATGTAAACTCCTCGCCAAATATAATAAGACACTTCCGCATACTGCAATGTGTTTAAGAAAAATATACAAAATGCTGTAAAGCTTTCAACTAGCGGTCTTTGTTTACAACTCTGTTGTTTTGGTGTATACGCACAAAACTAACATGTAGTATTAAACCTATTGTTACTCGCAACATTGTTCTCCCTTCCCAAATTAACTCTTTATTTGTCTGTACGTTTCTTAATGAAAAACGGACGGTTGTCGATGTTGATAATGTAGGAAAATTTAGAAATTATTTCTGACTATAATATTACAATTTTATTTTTAATAAGCGTAATGCAAAGGCGTGTAAATTAGCGCTTAAGTAAACTTTTCATTCCACGAAGTATTAACTTATATTAAGTCTGAACGTTAATAAAGCTAATGATAACAAAAAAATGAAATCATAGCGATGTTGATTTTAATTAATTTAAACATAATATACTGTGTCTATAATATTATGCGTCGAATGAAGAGTTCCCTAAGCGCGATGTGGTCAGTACGCAGCGGCTGCACCCGAGTGATGCATCAAATGATGGTGGTGGTATGATTCTTGCGTTGGACACCACCAATCAGGTACACCGTGGGGTACGGTCGGTGCAGGTTGCTGGAATTGCGTCCAGTGCCCACCAAAACCGAGTTTATTGTCCATCATTCCATTCCCACCAATATTTGTTAAGTGAGGCGGCTGGTTATGATGCGGAGGCGCTGGTGGTCGCTCATAAGGTTTCTGGTCGTGAGGATTTAGATATTTGTCATTGAGGCTCTCTAATTTGTCTGTTATAGAAGCATGGTGGTGGGGGTGGTGACCAGGTGGCGCAGGTGCTGTTGCAGGCGGTGGGGGGATTGGGGCTGGGGGACTCGCAGCTCCTGCAGTTACACTAACGCTACCAGCTGATGAAGAGTCGTCTCCATCGCTATCGTAGCGCGGAGAGGCGTCACCAGCTGCACCATGAACCTTCATATGCTTCCGTAATGATGATGGATGCGTGTATGACTTATCGCAACCGTGAACTCGGCAATTGTAGGGCTTGTCTGATGTGTGCACGTGTGAGTGCTTCTTTCTGTCTGAGGAGTTGGCGAACCGTCGGTCGCAACCAGCGTATTCACATTTGAATGGCTTCTCTCCTGTAAAGATAATTATTATATTATTAACATTTGCTTCTATAATTATATTCTTTCTATAATTCAATTTGCTTCTTTTTTCAAATTTGTAATTTTTTTTATAACAGACAATAAGGTAAAGTAGCAATATCTGTATCTCCTCCTGCTAGACATAGACCTAATATTATTGCGAGGTTTCTGAGGAAGCCGTGCTGCTCTAATGCATGACGAATGTTGACTGACTTTACATGTCTTCGCTAAATTTTTATTTTTTATTTTTATTTTAATTTCCTATACATACATGTTCTTCAAAATATTTCCTTTAACACCGAGCACGTGGTAATCAACAGTAAAGTTACAGTTAATATTTTGCTAGTTGCCAGCGAGGATTGAAGTCTTATTAGATATTGTTAGTATGAAAATAGAGGCGGGCGCTCCTTAACTACGCTAGGTACTCAAAATTCACAAAAATGGTAACCTACCGTACATTTAACGCAGTAAAATATGACTTTTCAAGTTATGCTATGTACTATATTATCTATTCTGTGTTTTTTTTTTAGAATTAGAATTTGGGTGACAAACGAGCAACAGTTCACCTGATGGTAAGTGATGCTGAAGATGGAATGCCTCAACTCCAGTAAAACGCGTCTCCGGTTCTCTACACTCACCATACTAAACACAGCAGCATCAAGCTGCTATTTTACGCTAGTATTCTGTGAAAGCGTGGTCCTTCCCTGATTGAGCCGACCCTTTCGTGCTACTACCATAATATAGCCGCAGCGTGGTTCTACCACATATAAATTATGCTAAACATGAATGAAACTATTATTTTACATTTATTAGCGTCTTCGTAATAACAATAAAATAAAAAATAAATAAGAAACTGCGGTTGCCATCCCGCTTGCCAAACGTGACAACTTTGTTAACTACCCCCCCCCCCCCTCCACCCCGATCCGCCAATCTTTAGAGTAACTCCATGTTCAGCAAGAGACTTTTAAAAGCTATAATGATAACGGTTATAAATTTTATTGTGTTAAGTTTTAAGTTTTTTTTTAATTTCGTTCCGAGAAATAATAATAATAATAAATTTATGTTTTAGATCACGTGGAAACTAAGAGTTGGACATCTTAATACCCTTGTCAACTCAGGCTTTTTCAGCTATTGATTATTAGTTTGTGTGCTATATACTCTGTGACTTAAATGCGCATAAAGAATTTACAGTACCTGTCTAGAAACCCTGCAGTAGTATGCTTTATTTTTGAATTTAGTTTCATTAATAACTGGATTCTAAGCTGATTCCGATTTTAGCCAATTTCTTTATTGAAATTGGATTTTAATATCAATCCCACAAAAATAATAAATACGAAAAGGGGGCTAACTAAGGGCGGTAGAAACGAAGTTCGAGATTGTTTGTTGCGCCGATAAAAGAGTTGAGATCCGATCGCGTTATTAGACACAATTAACGAGTTTTAAGCTTATCCCACCACCCACCACCCAACAGTGGAGGTGGGGTTTGAAATTGGTTCGAGTAAATAGTATATTATACTGCCTTTTGCGTCGGCCTTTGCTTTTCCGAATTCGGCTGACACATTGCCGTTTGTCTAACGTCTAGTCTTATTTTGTAGGATTGATTATGGCAAGCTTATATTTTTAACATCGAAATTTTTTTAGTTGTGTTGATACATTACTGGTATAGCGTCTGGGTAACATTCGACCATTGAACTGGTTAGTTAATGCGTTTCGTATGGAATAATAAGATTTCGTAGAGAATAATTACTCGTATAGTTATCTAAAAGTAAAAGTACTAGTTTATCTAAAATTACGACTCTTAGTAGGCACATTGGCGGTCGCGTTATCTGGTACCTCTCGCTTCTTTCACGCTGCACTACGGAATAAATAATAGTCTGCACTCTGTCGCCGTTGTAGATACTTTATGTTTGCCGTAAACGAGATGGCTATATCGCTATCTATCGCAAGCCATGAAGTCTTTCTGGAGTTATCCATAGGCGCCTTTTACGACTCCTATGAGACGAAATGGGATGATGGTTCGTCTTATACAATTATAGTATTTTTGATTATATAGAAGAGAATGTAGATAACGAATTATGATATTAAGTTTACAGATTCAAAATATTTGGTTTACGGATTTTCCAGATACATTTTTATTTTAAAATAAATGGAACAATTGAGTTTTCAATAAAGTCAAAATTAATATCTTCCATTAATTATAATGTGTGTGTAAGTGTTTTAATTTTATAATATTATAAGTATAATTTATATTTTTTTTATTTTAATAAAAAGCATGGGAGGTTCTAGTGTTTGTTATGTATGTCTAGTTCTACTAAGTTTTTTCTATTTAAATTTGAAAAAAAAAATTGACCCCTTAGGGCAGGGGTCTGCACCTTTTAAGTCAGAAGAGTCAAAAATTACAATTAACAAAATTTCAAAGTTTTAAAGAGCCACAAATTTTTTCTTGTAAACTATAAATAGTACTTCCATAAATAACGTTTTTTGATAAAAAAAACTTATCTGTTTATTCATACGAAAAATATAGGTATATTTATTCATCATATAAAAGTAATGTTTTTTTCACAACAAATTAGAATCCAATTTCTATTATTACTATCTATTTATTAGATTATATATATATATATATATATATATATTTTTTTTTTTTTTATTTCCACGTATACGCACACGTTTTTTTAAATCGATCAATTGCATTTCTATAAATCCAGTATCAACTTCAAATGGCCCAGTGTGGATTTCGTATGTGGGTGCGGTGAAAAGCGAGTTCAAGTGTCTGAGAGATAGAAATGGTGTCTAATACTCGTTAATCGATTCAGAAAGATTCTTAAATGTTTTTTTTAAATAAATAAATTAATATTTGCGTATGGAAATTAAGAGCCGCAGCTTCACATCCAAAGAGCCTCAGGTTGCCGACCCCTGCCTTAGAGTGTAAAAATGGGATTTTAATGTAATTCTATTTAGGCAATCTATGACCTGGAATTTGTAATATTCCTTAGTCAACTGAAATTCCTTAGTCAAAAGAAAAAAATGAAATAATAACCACAAATTAGCTTGTGAAGTCGCGGCTTCAATAGCTTGATAGACTGTATTAGCACCAACTTCGTAAGCTATTATGTGATTTTTTTAAATTCTTTTTAAATATTGGATTTTACCTTTTGTCAAATAATATTTTTATCTACGAACTTAATATATTAGCCCCGCACATTTTACCTACCTATTAATATTAAACACAACTACTCTTTTACTACCTGTATTACAAATTTAAAAAGGATCGAAAGCTTCGAATGCAAATGTCCAATCACGCTATAAATAATCAGATTTGCCCGTTGTTCATAGTTTACGAGTACAAATAAATATTCTCAACAATTGCGCGGGATACTTAACAAGGCCATAAATCATCTTTATAAGACGACTTTGTCACATCGCTGCAACAAAGCCGAGCTTTTGTGGGAATGAATAAGGTATAGTGTACCTTAAGACCAAGACAATAGAAATGTTTTTATTTACGTACGATTAACTTATGACATTTTATTTAAATATGAATTTTACTGATATTGATAACAAAGATAGAACTGATCAATTAACAGATAGAATAGAAACAAATATTTGTGTTTTTGCAAAACTATCCTCGTCTTCTTCAGTCTTTTAAAATCCCCTACTGAACGTAAACCATTTCAAGTGCAGCCACTTGCAGCCACCAGCAAGCTTGTTGGCAAGGCGGGTTGGTGAAAATAGAGCCGATTTCTTCTTAATGCCAATACTGCTCAACACTGCCAGCCTGAAAGATTTGTGTTTTGATTTTTAGATGATTTCCCGTTACAATTCGTTCGCCAGAGTTCTCGTCAGTCAGAAGGTGCACTGTGTGCGTTTTATTTAGGCAAGTGTGAGATATGCCAGAAAATGCTCGTTTACGCCAGCCGTTAAATACTCATACTCGCAAGTGTTACAATCAAGAAAACTGCTGCATTCAACAGGAGAGTTCCATGACCAGCTGTGCAACTTAACGGGCTGATCAATACAATATCTAGAGCAGAAAAACTCCTTACATCCTCCGACTTATGTTCATACGTTATGTTTACGTCATATCTTTCAACTGTCTCGTTGGTCTAGTGGTCGCAAGCACAATTGCTGATCATGAGGTCCCGGGTTCGGATTCCTGGTCGGGTCAAAGTTAGTTCAGGGTTATTTTGTCAAGAAATTCTCGGTAGAAGCCCGGAGTTAGGAAGTTGGCGGTGTCTCACCCCCGTGCCTCGGACAGCACGTAATGTTGGTCCAGCGCCTGATCTCTTTCCGGTCGTATCGTATTACTGTCCTATCGGACTATGAGAGTGAGGGAATAGAGAGGGCACTATAATCCTGTCCTGCGCCGATGGCTAGTCTCCGTTAAGAAAGGCCGCCGTGATCAAAACTCGATCTGGAGGACATTATTATTATAATGTCATACCTATCAAAATATTTTCGCCATTGTTATAGGTACAAGAGGACAGCAACAGCGAGTTTGATAAAACAAACTTCGTTGTTTTTTCTTTTTTACTTAAAAAACGTTATCTCTTACCAAGAATTTCTTTTCTTTCGTGGTGGCTGTTTATATATATACATAAATTTCACAAGGACAAGCATCCAGACCCTGTTCAACTATTTGTAGGTGTAAATACTCGTTTCGTTCGGAATTCGAACCCGCGGCCCTCAGTAGTCAGCACTGTAACTAATTGCTAAATCGCTGCGCCACTGAGCAGTCACTTTCATTTAATCAACCTCTAATGTAAATTATATTTATCTCTTTGGACACTGCATAATTTACGGACTTTTCCTATACTGATACGTTACTAAAGATTCATATTTTTTGTCTTAATGTTGACAGCTTCCCACATATTGTGGCATATTCTACACGAGTTCACCGAATCGTATCCTATATGAAAACATTGAATAAAATAATTTACAAGTAAACGGGCGTTCCGCTAGCATGACCGTGGTGCGTAACAATACACCTTTCT